TTAAAAAAATATGATTACTCTCTTACCTGATACTTTTTATTAAGTTTCACCACTGACAAGAACAGCGCAAGGTCTTGCCCTCTCGGATTTTGTTCAAATTTTGCAGGATGATAGATTTTGCTTACCTTTTTACGAATATATATGGTTATAGGAGCCACTACTCAATAATTTTTAAGATATTTGCAATTAAAAATGCTTATGATGCTATCTAGTGTTTAAATTTACTTCTGAAGTAACCAATGGTATATAATAGGTTTAGGATAATGACAACGATTCGGCGATTCGTTCAATAGTGGCCGAGTCTTTTAGGGTTCGAATCTTGGGAGGTAAAATTTTTTTTTTTTTCTATTTTTATATTTAAAGATACATAATAGAGTTTAAATAAGTTAAAAATGAAATGTCTTAAATGACTAGAAACTTTATAAGAGTTTTTTTTTTTATTAGCATTTGYATATGTTCTCAATTCTCACTATTTTCAAAATAAATATCAATGATTAGACTGCTAAAATTTCTCAAAAAATCACGAAAATATATCAAGACTTTTCTTATTTTTGTTAATTATTAATCTTAATCAGTAATTAAGACTTTCCTACGCTTGTTATAATAAAAAAAAATATGCAAAGTGTTTTAAAATACATTAATAGAGAGAAATAAATGATAAAATTTATTAAAATGTAATAAAAAAATTTTTTTTAATTTTTAATACTCGAAAAAAGATAGTAGTTATTGAAGGCCCACGGCCAGACCGGCCTAAAACGTAAAATTAGTAGGTTTGCTTTAAAAATTTTGAAGAAAATCTAAATATGCACTCACTTTAAAAAATGCAATTTAAAGTTTAAAAATCGAAAATTACGTATTAAGACACTTTAAATAATTTTTTTGAATCTTTTTTCGAAAAGTACATTGAAAAACAAAACTTTTATGTAGAATGGTAATTTTCATTTGGATGAGTTTTAAAAAAGGTACGGGCTAAAAACCACAGAAAGAGCTGCTTATGAAAATTCGATATCATTGGAACGGATGATCAAAAAAATGCGACAATTTAGGAGGAAGGGTTTTTCAGTGGGTACTAAAAGATACCAAAAAATGGCGGAAATCAAAAATAAAAATTTTTAAAACCGTCCGATTTGGCGTGGAATGCCCCATATGTACAGAATAATATTTACTACAAAATAATAAAAGCATTTCGCAAGTGAGAATAGAGAGTAAACAATGATTCAGCCCTACGTGAGAATCTGAATGTACCCTGCAATAAACATATCGATGCCGAAGAACACATACTTCTGATTCCGAAAAAAAATTAATTTGTCTCGATATTTTAGTATTTTTTCAAAATCATTGATATTTATTTTGAAAATAGTGAGAATTGAGAACATATACAAATGCTAATAAAAAAAAAAACTCTTATAAAGTTTCTAGTCATTTAAG